CGCCACAGCAGCGATGTAGCAAATGTGGTGACGTCTGAGCGGCCAGCCACGACCCTACCTAACCGTATCATTGTCAGCTTTATTCAATCAAACATATTGTCAACCATCAATTGTGTTATGTCTAGATTGAAAGCTCTCGAGAAACGCGATGCAGGAATGGGAGGCTCTTACAACTGTTGAAATCGGCGCGTTAGGCTCTTCAAACAATGACCAGCCTTGCATCCTTCGCAGTGGTCCTCTTCGTGCGGAGGGCTTTGCTTTTTGATGTAATCGGGCGGTTCCACGGCGATGCCATTCCACTTCTTCAGACGGTATGCCACCCTGTCCGCATAAGAATCGTCTAGGTCCGGCTTGCTCAAGAAGTTACACTGGAGACAATGCTGATGATAGACCCTGGCATTATATCTCATGCCTGGATACATACGAATAGTAATCGCTATACACTTGCTACTCCAAGCGACAGTCTGGCAGTTCGAATTGTTACAATGAAATAAGCCCATGATGTTTGTGTCGTAAGTTTCGATACAAGATTCGTCATCATCCTGGTGGTTGAATCGGAGCTGAAGACCATCTTGCTGGAGCAGTTGGCACACCTCGGCGTGTTTGGAAGGCCAGAGTGACCATTTCCGATTTGGCTTTCTCCCTCTCGCCATGGCGCTGATGGTATCGGAGTGGAGGAAGTTGAGGGGGTGGTTTGCTGAAAGTCGAGACCGCGGAGGAAAGTGATTGAGATGCAATGTTTACAAAGTCGAATCAATCAAGACCTGGAAGAGGGGGGGAGAAAGATATAAAGTGAGCATGAGCAGCGAAATGAGTCCCTCTTGCACCGTTTGCAACCCTCCACAAGCAGATGGAGGGATGGGACGCACTGCATCTGCAGTATCTCTCGATCATTGGCAAGGCCACCTCATTACGGCTCGGGAGCTTGTTCCGTCTGCTTGTACCCGCATTATCACAACAAAGTCATTGGTTCAGAGTACTGCCATTGACACGTCCAACTCATGACGGAGATGTGCAGATGCTCACTTTGGTTGGTTGGACTGATCTCCCCTCACATCTGTACCACCACCTGACCGCGTCAGTCGCCAAAGTCTGCCTAGACCACACCCTTAACACAGAGGCCAACAGTGCAGTTACAAAGTAGACTACCATCTAGTGAGGCGTAGTCTGACATTTGCCACTCCAGGGTAGCTAAGTCTGTCACTGCCACCACCACTGCTACCGAGAAATTGATCCCTTCGGATGGGTTCTTGAGAGGGGGCTTTCTCGAATACGCGGATAGCTAACTAGGTACCTATAGTGGGTGGTAGGTTCACAGCCAGCTCAGTGCGCAAGTCTATGCTGCTCAAACCTGTCACAATCAGTAGTCTCCAATCCGGCCCATCTCCTAGCATCTGATACAACAATACTCATTGATTTCTTAACTAGGTATATCACGTGGCTTTGGTTCGTCCACACATAGCTTTGCGTAGACCCCAGCATCTCACTTGGAGCAGCCCCGATGGGTTCCCGCTTTTGCCGACGCGTCGGCCAAGCCGAACGCTTCAACATGGCATAAAACGATATTTAAGCCCCGAGAGTGACGCGTCGTCGCCATGGACTTTCACGTGGTGCAGCTCTCAGTGCCCGGCTGAATGCCGAGGCAACAGACAATACGAAGCTTCAGAATATAGTATCGGTACCGGTATAGGGTCTAGCCAACCCCAGACTATTCTTTCCTTAACCAGCAGGCGACCAATTCGTTTGATAGATGGCCTATAGAACGAATCCGCCTATCTTCCTCTAGGTAATAAGAGTATCTATCCCTTTACTTGCCAAGATGGTCCCGATGAATTGGTCTCGTGCCGGCGTCCCTGCCAAGGCCCTCTCCCGGCACTTGGCACATCTAAATGAGGCAGGTCAACCCAGATAAGGACATCTCCAGCCGTATTGCTGGGGTGCGTATACTACTCGCCAAGTATTTCGTTAGATTGCATCTTGGATCATGCAGCTTGGCCTGGGCCATCGACGACGGGCTGGGCCAACTCGTGATTCGGATCGTGCGTGGAATCGCGAGCAGAAGCTCTCGGAAGAGAAGCTTTATCTGTCCACCTACGCTACAATCTGGGCAGTGGGCAGCATGGCCATTGGCCGATGCACCTGTAGCCAAGAATATAGCTTCAAGTAACGGATTCTTCATAAAGGTATATAATCACGTCCCATACCATGCTATCCCATGTCCCTGAGGTTTGATTTCGTTCACTCCGATCTTGATCGCGCCATTCTCAGTATATCGCGTGTGTTTCTTGTCGGGTGGATTGGTAGACTTTGGTTCACTCTCCTCAGAGTCATTCTTTCCTTGTCGGTATTGACCTGTTCACAATGAAGGGGTTCAGGTCTGCTCTAGCGATTACGGCCACCGGCCTGCTTGCCATAACTGGCAACGCCGAGCCTCTTCCCTATGGCGCTTCTAAATGCAAGCGTCCTCTGGTGCAAGATGTAAGGGCCGCTCAACTTACCTACGTTCTACCACATGCTAACACATTTCTCGATAGAAACCGTTCCAAAACTCCATCCATCTCAAGGACCTCATGAAGTGTGCACAAGACCTAGAGGATATTGCGTATGCGACGCCTGCTCGTAACCGAGTAAGTCGCTATGCCTCTTCTTACGATGCGAAGTTGAACCAACAGCTTAATCACAATTGTTCAGGTCCATGGCTCTGAGGGTCACAAGAATACTGTCAAGTACTTCAAGGACACCCTCGAAGCCCTTGGTGATTACTACACCATTGAGCTCCAGGAGTTCACCACCGAAGTTACACTCGCCTCTGCCACAGCATTCTCGGTCGGCGGTGTCGATTTTGAGACGGACTCCTTCGAGTTCGGTAATAATGGCACCTGGACGGACGTGCCTCTGGTCAACGTAGCCAACCTCGGTTGCGACCCGGTAAGTCATGACACCAACATCTCTAGACTCTCTCTTCGACGATCTTTTTTGTAATAGCATGAGAGTGTTTTTTCTCGCGCATTTACTAACACATACGCTAGGCGGATGTCCCCGACAGTGTCGCTGGCAAAGTGGCGCTCATCGGGCGAGGTGAATGCACCTTCGTCCAGAAGATTACCAATGCTGGCGCCAAGGGAGCCGTTGCCGCTATGATCTATAACAACGGCGAAGTCGGCCCTGCCGCGGGCACACTTGGCGGGGTTAATGACCTGATCCCCTTGGGCGGCCTCACTCGGGCCGACGGCCTGGCTCTGGCTGCGCGCGTAGAAGCCGGCGAGACGGTCACCACCTCCGGCACCTTCTGGGCGTACGTAGCCCTCGGCATAAGCCATAATGTCGTCGCCACTTCCAAGTACGGTGACCCGGACAACGTCCTGTTCCTAGGCGCCCACTCCGACTCGGTTGACAAGGGTCCCGGCATCAACGATAACGGCAGCGGCTCCTGCGGTCTCCTAACTGTGGCCAAGGCGCTCTCCAAGTGGCGGACGAACTCCCAGGTGAAATTCGCCTGGTGGACTGCCGAAGAGGAGGGTCTCCTGGGCGCCGAGCACTTCGTCAACACCTCAAGCACAGCAGATCTCGCCAAGATCCGTCTCTACCTGAACTTTGACATGATCGCCTCGCCCAACTACTACCTCGGCATCTACGACGGCGACGGGAGCCGTTACAACCTCACCGGACCCCCCGGATCCGACGTGGCGGAGAAGCTGTTCGAGGACTGGTTCGCCGCCCGGAAACTGACGACCTTCGGCTCCGAGTTCAACGGCCGCAGCGACTACGGCCCGTTCCTCGACGCCGGCGTCCCGTGCAGCGGCCTCGACACCGGTGCGGACGGCGTTAAGACGGAGACGGAGGCGGCCATCTACGGCGGGGTCGCCGGCGAGCAGTACGACCAGAACTACCACAGCGCCGGGGACAACGTGAGCAATCTCGCCGCGCTCCCCTTCGAGGTCAACGCCAAGGCGATCGCCCACGCGGTCGCCACCTATGGCAAGAGCTGGAAGGGCTTCCCGGCTCGTCTGCCATCCAACGCCACTGCTCCCGCCCGTCGCCATTTGCATAGCCGCGAGGCCGGCGCCTCCAAGAAGCACTTCTGCGGTACGCAGGAGATTCTCGAGTACTAGACTAGCACCGTCTAGGAAGCCGAAGTAGGGCGTAAAGTGTTAGGGGAGAGGCTTGAACGGTGCTAATGATGCTACGAAAGCTAACGCGTAATGCCTAATATCTGTAAAAAAAAATATAACACGATTATACATACCTGCTATCCCCCCACAAATCCGTATTGCAATATGAATTGGTCATTAAAAAGAAAAGAAAACAGGATGGCGGATGCGCTTTACATGGGTGCCCAAAAAAGAAAAAAAGAAAAAGAAAACGTACAACACCAGGGATTCGCTGGTCGTCACCGACCCAACTACTAATCTGGCGGTATCTGGCTTAGCTATGGGGGAGCGGACGGGACCCCGCGTTCTCCAGATCCTATGGTCGTACGTGACAATCTGTACATCTATTACATATTATAATCATGAGCACCGCCTGCCGGCCTGTCTGTCAAATAGATGTTGTATGTGGTGTGATTGGACATGCAGATCACTTCTGTATTATAGATATCGAAGTATGGACTGTAGGCAGACGCAAACACTCTTATCAATGATCTAGCTGGCTCTTGACTATTATTGATGCAGTTGAAAACATCTCTGACGGGTGCGTTCTGCGCGTTAAAAATTATATTTTTATGTATTTTCATGTTGTAGTTATGCGAAGGGAGCCCTCCTATGCGACCTCCTGCTCGTTTCCTTAGGTTGAGCCTGTTAACACACTACCGCAGCTTATTATTTAATTTCTTATTTTTACTGCGAAAAAGGTACGAAAAAAAAAACAAATAGGAAGCGATAAAGTATGTACGTGTTGCTATAAAAGTGGGAATAAAGGACAAACAAAAGAAAGAAAGGGGGAAAAAGGAAAAAGAACAACATCCTTGAACAGACAAGGGTGTTCATAATTGAATCTGTCGACTAGGGCCTGATTCGAACAGACGCTCCCGAAGGAAATAGATTTCTAGTCTATCGCGTTAACCACTCCGCCACCTAGCCGCTTGATGGGAAATTGGCGAGGTAAAGACCGTTTTGCGCAGGAGTTCCACCTGGGGGGTCACACAATGTCATGCACAAGTAGAACGTAGCTTCGGGGTTGAAAGTCTTCAATACCCGAACGATTTCTTTGCCTTTTTTTTCTTTTTAAACACTTCTTAACTGCGACAAAGATACGGACAGAACTTAGTTGTAAGGGTGTAATCAAGTACCTTGCGCATCCAAATTTTAAGAATTACCTGAATTTGTTGAATCAGCAGTCTACAACTATATTATAGTCAACTTGTACATTCAGTTGCAAGGGCATGATCTTTGAACAAGAGAAGGTATTGTTAATACCTCTACCCCTAGTAATCGTCTCTGCTACATACAGAATATCTCTCTACCTTAAGAGGCGTGTGTATAACCATAGTTTCTAAGAGGTGGGAACGATATATCCGTGTTAGTTTCACAGGACTCCTCAATTAACCCTAAGTCATCTCCATCAGTCTTCCGGGACTTATTTGACTTCTTAAGTTTCTGTAAATGGAACGAGTTGATTAATATTTTCTCGGGGGGATCCAATCGATGGGTTGCCAGTCCATTAGCAGGTCTAATCAGAGGCGACAAGACCGGTATCGACACAACGACCAAAACTAAGTTGACCTCGACTCTATACGTAATGTTAGCTATTTCTTAATGACAATACGTTTACTGGCGCTTCATAGCATCCTGGGGCTCGGCGGTGGTACTTACGCCCACCAATAGGCTATCTGTGATAAAGCAACTGTTTCATTATCATTCCCTTCGTTAATTCCGACGCTATCGCGGCTATGTGGATGAGAGCACTAACAAGTGAGATCTTGAGTTTGCGTAAAGCTCTGGAAACTGATAGTCTTCGCAATGGATGCAACGCTGGCACTGTGGTTTTATTAAGCTAGGCCGCCCAACCCAAGGTATCTGTTAGAAAGGGGACGCAACTTACAATACCCCTAACCCCATTATGCAGCTTAAATATAACTTTTGTTTCTTCTCCATCTTCAAGTTCCAGAACAAGTTGGCTGGATATAAAGCCAGGATGACATCAACGGCCGAGCGGATGGCTTTGATCAGTTAATCTAAGTGTTCTATAATTTAGTCCTCGAATTTCTTACAGCTCTGAGTAAATCCAATGTACTGCTGAACGGTAGGAGGCCAGCAGTCACCCGCAACTCTGTGATCCCAATATGCATCCAGTGGACGGCACTGAGCATACGTCACTGTTACGGCAGCAATATCGCCGATGAACTGGACGACAATTATAGTCCAGAGAAGATTTCGCCTCCATACGCTAGGCGGCGTAATGCTCAGAAGGAGGATGGCGTACGAAATCCTGGAGATGCCAACAGAGAAGATCGCAGGTCCTTCGGCGAGAAACGTCCATTTGATGGCATAAATAGCATGCTGCGGCGTATCTGCGAATGTCGCTATATGCCGCCCAAGGCCCCAACTTACCGCAACAGTGACCATGACAGTAGTTGTTATTCCCAAGCCCTACGGGTATCCATTTGTAAGCTTGTAATATCCGACATTGGCTGGGCCGTACTCACGTAGGTAACTAGGAGACATAGATCGTCCAATGTTACTTTTTGGCGTCGCACTCTATACCGTATCCATAGTCGTAGACCTATGACCCCTGACGAGACTATCGATAGGAGCCACGCCAGGGAGAGGAGCCCAGCGCCCATAGAATTTGAGGCCATCTCGCTCCAGGTAACTACAAGCTAGCAACCAAATGGGGAAACGAAGACTTGAGACTGCCTGTCATGGATGGAATATCTTAGGTTCTCAAAACCGTAGACGGGATGGCGGTACTTTTAATATCTCGTTGCCCGAGAAGGCTGTCTTGAAATGCCTCGCCCCCATCATTGCTGTGCCATTGTAAAACATAAGCCTCTCCACTATACGGCGTATTGTCGCGTCCATTGTCACACAGTGCCGCTGTAGGTCATCTTGACCGGTGGAAGCCGGTACTCCCTATAAACCCTTGCTCCGTCTCTCACAGCTACCACTAGGTGTGCATCAACATTTTCTCAAAGCCTCGATTGACCAAAAAGGCGAGATAGACTATTCGAGCGTTTAATAACCTGGGAGAGCATAGAATGAATACTAAATGATTATTACAGCCGTTCGGTCGAGTAATCGTTATAGTCACCTTTCAAAACCCATTCGTCAAGGGCTCATGTTGACTCATAACTTCGTATTCGGTGTCGAAGTTGGTAAGGGCGAATTCCGCCTAACCTAAGCACCCAAGGCGAATCGTGTCTTGTGCGCCCCGGGAGTATTTATATCTTGAAATGTGAATCTATGAGTCAGAACGACGCCATTGTGTAACTTGGGGCTGGAACTCATGGGCCTACGGGGGCTGACCAAGAGTTTATTAGCCCAGGCAGGCGCCCACCTAAAAGCCAATGGGTGTCGGATGTACGTGATATCATGCAGTGTGTTGAACTGATCGTGTAACTATATTATTGTTTTTGTCGGAATAGAGGGTTGGAAGGTAGCCACGGATAACGCGAAGATTTTAGCCAAATCAATCGTAACCAGCTCAAACACTCTCTCCTCTTGACGTTGCTAGGCTTTGCGCATATCACGTACGATCGTAGCCGAGCTTCTGTCGTTTTTACATCCCAGAACAGGAAACAATACACACGCTCGCCGCAAAGTGGTCGCCACAACTATCATGTCAACAGAGGAGGTGGTGCTCTGGCCTTCATCTTGAAAACCGTCATGACCCCTAAACACACAAGGTTATCCTGCCTCTGTTTAATAGGGAGACGCTTAATCCAACATAGACTTCGAAGGGGCTGGGGTTGACGCTGTGCGAGACTTAACTGAGTGGCCAAAGAAGAACGGCGACTGTAGGCACTCAGCAGCTGGTCCTCTTGTTCTCAGCCTAGGATAAAGAGTTGCTTAAACTGAACACTGATGCTTCACCTTGTGCCGCTGATGAATTCTCGCTCGCAGTCGTTTCCTACACGCTGGGAGCAAACGTTCGAGGCCCCCAAAGCGCACCTTTCGAGTAGCGAATAAGAATAGCCTGACCTAGAGCCCTAGTGCAGATAGCTAGAGAGTGGAGAGGAGCTCGGGTTGCAACCCGGCGATGCCACCTTTGCTTGTGCTGGGCGGGGAGCACAATGACGGGCTATGGGTGCTGAGTTTTTCGACTCACAAGCCAACTGGGGTGATACACTCTCAGGACAGGCGGACCCGGAACTTATCCAATCGGCTGAGGGTTTCGCAGACCACATGTACAACGCTTCAAACTGGCCTAGATGACCTTTTAGCTTCAAGGTTAGTAAGACCCGTAGCTGTACCCGCGTATTCCTCGGGGGGAACAGGCGTAGCTTGCGCGTCGGAGTGCGTGACAGCAGCTGAGTCAATTACTGTCATAGGGCCCTGATCATACTTGAAAGACCTGTCTAACGCGAGCATTATCCCCGAATCTCTTGGGTGCCGTCAGTGACCCCCGATAAGCACTGTGGAAGTTGGTCAAGGTATAAGTTTAGAATCCTTTCTAGCGCGGAACGTTTCGCCTGAATCGAGGGACTTGTCTCACAGTGCCAAAATGATGGAAGTCCGGATATCGAAACGCATGCGCGACCAGATGGAGAATATCCTCGCCCATCACTGGACAGGTATAGACTTAATCATATCCGTAGGTCTTCTCTCGTCGCTGTATGAGAAAGGCCGCTGTCTCACAGGCGCGCATCCACAGTTCTGCGGAATACCCGATGGCCTCGGACGCGCTAGCTCGAGTCTGCGCTACCTTGTCATTGGCGGCGGCATTGAACAGCGCGACGCGTATCACCATGCACGGGTTGTATGAGCGTAATGGCGTTAAGAGTTAGTTATAAGGATTGCACGTTCACCACCATCCCGCCAGTGTTCCCGACGATGGCCGCTCGCCATGTTCTGCATGTTACTTCCGACATGAAACAGATTCTAGCTAACGTGGACAAGCTTCTCAAGCCCGGGCGAGTCGACATCCAATTTAGTAGACACAGGCGCCGCCTTTAGCACTTTTACCGGCCTCTGGGCTAGTATTCCTGACGCACGCATCGATACGCCTTTCATGAGCCTCGAGATGTGGGATACCAACTTGGGAGCAGCTAGGTTCTCAGGTGCAGAGCTCGTTATCGACGATTATTCGTACTCACGCAACACTACGTCTGCGATTGTGTCGACATTTCTCGGCGCGCCGATTGCTTCATCCGGGCAGAGCACGAAAGCCCCAAGTGGCAGCCCGGTTGTTTATTTGTTACGTAACGCCGCTGAGGGGCCATGCGACGCGGCCAGGGCGGCTTGGGGACGCTAATAAAACTTACGTGCATATCTACAGCGGAGAGAGTTGACCAACATCTGGCACGCATTGCAGTCAATGTGACAATCCACACGAGGTGTGGTAGTACGTACGTATCTGGCGGCGCCTCGATCTGGAATTGTTAAGTGATGAGAACGGGAGATCTTTCGACAGGGGTTCTTATTCGACGAGATGCCCAAACCCGGAGAAAGGAGATCAAAAGAAAATAACCCCCTCCCCCCCTTAAAGCCATGGCGCTGTGTGCGCCACTTTTGAGACGCTAGGCGTGCTTGGCTCGTTGTGCTTCGAACCAAATAAGGTGGTGTTGACGCCACTTCCACCTGGGTTTATTGGCCACAGCCGCCGGGTTGGATTACAGCGACCTGAACGACTGGTCTGGTCGGACGGATAACTTATTACTAACAGCATCTCTGAGTCCTCGAGAGTTGTGATGGATTGGGTCCCAAGGTCCCTGATGATTTTGTAATCGGGGACCGTGCGTGTGATCTGACTATGGGTCGATCTCAACTCGGCAATTCCGCGCGGGTTTTGGGCGCGCGCACTCTAAGTACAATGGGTGGATGAGGGCTTTCGACTGAGTATGAGGCTTCGGCCTTATGCCAAGGCTATTTATGCCTTCGAGGATGCCGCTCATCTTCCCATGTGAGGGAACTTGGTGAAC